AAAAATAGACGGGCGAGAACAATGATAATAAAAAAATGGCACAATTTATAAAATGGAACGGACTTACTAAATTGCACCAATATATCAATTGTTTATGGATAATTGTTGTTTATTATGATTATAATTGCCACGTTTAATAATGTTTACGAAATAATGTAAGTGTAATTAAAATAATAATATAAATCCACAGTTGTAATTATAGTTCATTTGATAATCCAAATTGAGATGAAGGTAGTCGGATTTTTGGAATTTGATTATTTCGTCAAAATTCGCTTCCCGTTCTCACGTCGGGGTTACCAATTCTGTAGTGGCTGTGCTTCGTTAATTAATCACCCTCGAACAGTTATCGTACAATCTTCAACGATATTTGAAATCAGAAGGCAAAAAGAAGCAGCTACTACAGTTTTATTTAGTAGATAATTTCGGACCAGACAGCAGAGAGGCAAAATGAATGAGCAAGCGAACTACGATTGTAGCAGTAGTAAGTAGCTGTAGTCAATGCGTGCAAAATGTACAGGTATATATATGTATAGGAAAATAGGTGAGTCAGCGAATAGATTAAGCAGTTAATAACGAAGCTAGCAGAATGAATACATGCGTAGGCGCTAAACAATGTTCAAGCATATGTATTTCATACAAGCATAATAGTAAAGATAGTACAACAAGTTGTTATATCATGGATGACTTTGTCCATTAAATAAGTTAACAAAAGGGCTTAACTGAGTTAAATGAGAATAAACCCATTTGCACGTGAGTCGCTATAAGTACGCTATTAAAAAGGAGGGAGTGATGGGGAAAATAGATTCTCAAAACTCATAGTTTGTAATTTTATCATTGTGGAGCTCGTTCTAGCTGTTTTGCAGAATATACTTCCCATTCTAAGCTTGAACTTCTCCGTCTAGTTAGCGGGGCTGGGACGCGTCAGTAGCTAGCTTGCTGATCTTTGGTCACCGAGTCTTGTTTCTCGTTCGTAGATTAAGTGAACTCGTGATAGCTTCAAAACTAGCAAGTACATACTATAATTAAAAAATGTGAATTCATATAGTCTAATTTGTTTTTTTAATATTTTTATTACTAACATTCAACATGATTTGGTCACAAATAACGAGTTAGTATTTAAAGTGAAACAGAATACTCTTATATCTATCGAAGGTAATATGATGTTTTGTATATGATCACAAAGGAAATGAATAATAGTACTGTATTATAAAGTGAATAAGTCTCTTGATTTGTGAATACGCTTCATTGCATTCTTCTTTTAATTTTATATATGTATATATTTGTGTTGACTTTATTTCTTTATATGATTTTGAAAGGTGAATGTAAGGGAGATGGAATGTTAATTTTGATTAGCTGAATATACTAATTCAGTAATTAAGTATGCATAAATGCATATTTTTTTTTAAAAAAAAAGTCATACGTGAATAAGATGATAATTCAGTTACAAGTACATAAATACACGCTTACCAGTGTATGAAGGTAAATACAATGACCTTAAGAAAGATGAAAACTTTATCAGATGATTTGTTACATAAGATACTATCATCAATCGCTTCATTCTTGTATGTATACACTGTTTGTCTTCCCTTAAACAGTGAGTTTAAAATTGCTTCATACGTTTCTTTCTACAAACTAATTATTTCTTCCTGAACTATATCCTCATACACAATCTTTCTTCTATATATTACCACCATTTAATTAACTACTTCTATGAATCCAGTGTTCATCTTGTTGTGCTAATGCGGTATGGCAACTTGGACCGATGCGTATATGTACCCGGTCCCACGTTGTAGCTGACTGATTGACTGACTGATATCCAATAATAATACAACTTTATATTATATATTGAAGCTAATCACATCAACCATATATAATTACAATGGTTAAGGTTATGAGTCAGTTGAAGCTAGACCACCATGGAAAGCCTGGAATCACCGGACGGCCTTTTCGTCCTATTGTGGGACTCCTCAACAGTGCGCACCCACGACGTCGCCTTCTGCGAAATTCGAACTCAGGACCTACTGGTTTCGCGCGCGAGAACTTAACCACGAGACCACTGAGCCGGCAGGCATCCAACGGTGTTCATGTCTAACTTCAATTAATCCACGAAATTGAGCGACACATCCACCATTGTCTTCAGTGAGTTGCTAATAAGCTAAATTTAAAAGAAGGTTAGATAAAATGAATTAACCATTTTATTAAACAATATCTCAATAATGAAATTAATAAACTGAAAAATAACAAAATTGGTTCCAGTTAATTAACTAATTAATACATGATTATGAAAATAAAACTGGATCAACTATTTGTTCTATTTTGAACAATCAAATCATTATAAAATATACGAATTAAGTGTATAAAACGAATTATATATTGATAAAAGTTTGTTAATACCCTTTGAATCCCACCCCGCCGCCAAAAAAATTAAAGCGTGAGAATTACTCCATATGTATGTGTTAACCATGGATAGAGTGTTGAATTTGATTTATCATTGTTAAAATTATTATTCTCGAATTCTATTTATGATAGTTTTATAACCTGAGGCTTGATTTGTATACAATGAGATGATGATGAGGTTGATGATGATACACTGTAACAAATAATAAATATGGTATATATGTATATAAAGGTTCACTGGGTTTAGCTATTATTATCATTATTATTATTATTATTATTATTATTATTATTATTATTATTATTATTATTATTATTATTACTATTATCATTATTGTTATTATTATTGTGTTTACAAATTACTTCTAAATTAGTCATATTAACATAATTCAATACAATGAGACTAAACAAACTTCTCTATTATCAGTAATATAATTGAATTACACTTAATGATTAAATAAGTTTTATAGAATGATGTTTTATTTTGTTTGGTTGTGAAACCCTACCAATTTTTGTATGAATTAAATTCTCTGAAAGAAAACAATTATCTAAGATTGATAGAATTCACATTGTACATATGTTAATAGTTCACAGTTGATTAGGTGAAATGAAAATATGTGGGGATTTGAGATTGATCTTTTTTTTTTCTTAATCAAAAAAGGTGGTCAAAACACAGTTAATTTAAATGTTTATAACATTATAACTATTATTGATAGCAATGGTTGGTGATGGATGGATACAGCAAATTCAATAAAGTTAGGAATATGAAGGTTTTGAGTTTGATATATGGTGCAATGCTCGATTCCTAGCAGTTCCATATTAAAAGAGAATGCTGTTCAGTTTTAAATGATTGTTTAATTAGAGTTAGTCCATGATGGAAGCCACAAACGAAAGAAACGGGAGTTTATGTTTTGTGTAGTGGAGAGTAATGTAATCTAGAATGCGACTTTTACCCTGTTTGAATCTCGCTAGCCGAATTCATATGCATCCCGATATTTGTCTTCACACTGAAACTCGAAATCAACGCTTTTCGCTTCACTATCCACTGAGTTAATGAGTTCAGATAGTCACTGGCTTGCATAGCGGATATGACTTTTAGTTTCAAGGGTTTGGATTTTTGTGTGTTTATGTTAAGAAGCACAAATAATCACTATATTCGACCATCTAAAACCCCGAATGAGAAATTATGATGAACCGCTAGTTTCCAGTCCTAGGTAGCTTTCTTTAATACCACATCTCGTAACCATAAAATGACAACCTCTCTGATTTTTCCTTCAGCCCCAGTGTGATTTGGAATCCGCTGGGATAACATTCGTAGCACTTGTTAAAGTCGTTGAGCGTCGGTGATATCAAGTGAATAATCTTTATTGTCCCCAAACATATTTTCTAACCTCTACATCACATCACTAACGACGATCGATTACAGAGGATAGCAGAATATCCTCAACTCTGGGTTGCACATTTTCTCGAGAAAAAATTAGGGTTAATTTTACCAACACGTTGTAGACTCTACAGCTTACATCCTAGTTCAAACATCCTATCTACATTTCTAAATTCTAGACATTTTTCTGACAAATAAAGTTAATTCAACTTTATTAGCCTAATCAAACTGATTAAATTTGTTATTACGTTGAGAAAACGATGAGTGATAACCACTATGAAAAGATCACTTCAAATCTTCAATGATATACGGTGTATATTAAGATAAAACAATTACCTTCTAATAAGATCAATTCAGATAACACCAAAATAAAAATTGCATGATAAAACAATTTGGTCAAAACTGCGAACACTATTCTCTTATTCTTTTCTAAGTAACCCAAAAGATGATTTTTGAATGGTGCTCAATTTAACCTCCAATACAATACGTCTGAATATTAATATACAATCTCAGGATACAATTGAATAATTTTATAAAACAATGCTTTACTAGAAATGCTCTCTTCACTTACAATAAATATACATAACTATACTTTGAATAGATTAATTTTGATAAGCAGTAAAATCGAGAGCATGTATTGGATCTTACTTAGAACTCATCAGTTGAATACACCTGGATTCCAGTGTTCACATTATAACTCAAAACAAACGTCTTCTACTCTAAGTACGAAATGTGTTATCCATTGAGCTACTGATTAGATGGTGGTTGAAGGTAGTCAACAGAAATCTCTAGACCCGGGTTTTGTACTAATTGGCACTCGTCAGCAAGATGTACCTGTAATCTTGAGGGAACTTGTGCTCCCTGACGGATTCCATCCTATGTCACCCAGCTTCACAGTCAGAGACGTTACCACTGAGCTATTCCGGCCGCGACCGACTTCTTGTAGGACTGAGATGCAATCACCGTTGATTGATCACTGGGTGGTGATCAATGTCATATGTGTCAAGTCCTTCTTAGTGAGGATGGAATGTTATCAATCAAGTTCAGATAGCCGCCAACTCATCCAATGAATATTTTGTTTATACCATGACTCTAATTCTTATAAATAATGATATAACCAAATATATATTTTTTACGAGTTATTAACTTAATATATCGGTATATATTCATCATGACATCATTTTCTTATACCTTGTTAATTACCTTTCAATTCTACCTTGATTATTCAATTTGTTTTCAATTCACTTTTTTTTGACATCTTCCTGATTAATGTTGTTGTTGCTTTGCTTTCTTCTTCTTCTTCTTCTTCTTCTTCTTCTTCTTCCTCTTCTTCTTCAACACTCTTCCTTATCAAATTTTCTGGATCATTTATTCTTAATTATTATTTAAAATTATTATGGATTTCATAGGATGAATTCTATGTGCTTCTTTTCAAACTTCAGAGGACCTGCATATTATTATTATTATTAATATTTTATACATATGTCGAATAATAACTGATCATTAAAAATCTAAGTTATGACATTTTTGATAATTTACTATTATACTTCAGTAGTTCTTAAATTTGTCATCAACTTAATAGAATAGATTATTTCACTTAGTAACGATTGTGTTTATTTTTAACTTAGTTTTTTTTCTTTCTTTTTTTTGATTGCATGTTTGATTTTGGTCATGATTACGGAACAAGAGCGATTATGAAAGAAAAAAAAGTATCACAATACACAGTATGAGTATCCAAGTGTAATGTCATAAAAAAAAACACACAACTAATAATGATTGACAGATGACTATAAATGCCTATCAAGATTACTTAAATCATTTCAGTAAGATATTTGATAGATATAGATAACTTTCATTGTTAATGAATAATGTGGTTAGATTGTTTTCTTTATTACAACTTATCCGTCGGATAGATTTATCTGACTATAAGTAACTTGCACGAAAATTTAATTTATATCTGCTAAAAAAATGATGCCAGGAAGAGGTGGAATTGTAATTCAGTAATTTAGTTATATTTATTAGTAACATTACAAAATTTTATACAAATATTAAATTATTGATTGTTCAATGTCAACTACTGTCAGTTCGTTGCTTTCACATTTAACTAATGAATAGATATATAAAGTGATATGCGTTTTATCATAATTATTTTAATCAGTTGTGAATTAGTGTTTGGTGGATTGGTAAATTTTCACTTCAGAATGGGTTTTGTGGAGGGCAGGACCGTGGATGCGCACTGCTGAGGAGTCCCATACTAGGACGAAACGGCCGTCCAGTGCTTCCAGCTTTTCCATGGTGGTTTAGTTTCAGTTGACTCGTGATTTCAACCAGTGAAATTTTCATTTACAATTTTTAATTCTCTTCATTGCGTTGAACCATATCAGTCTTATTCCATTTGTAATAAGTAGCAAACAATAGTTTATTCTCAATTTCGGGAATTTGTGTAGACTGTAGTATTTTCGAAGTTGTATTCACGAGTCAGTCTAAGCTAGAACATCGTTGAAAATCTGAAAGCACTGGATGACCGTTTTGTCCCAGTATGGAACTCTTCATAAGTGTCTAGCTTAGATTGAATCGTGAATTCAATTTTGAAAATAGTTTATTCTTTAGTTATAACAAATAGCTATACAGTTAGCATCTTGGCAAGTGATTACACATGAATTTTTAACCAAACTGAAGAACTGTTCAACTGATTTTGGCTGATGATAACAATCAGATTTGATGAGTTTTATTTCATATATATATATATATATATATATATATATATATATATATATATATATATATTCCATAATCTACAAGTGCATTATAAAATTTCAAGTAGATCTAAAGTAATGTTTGTTCTGTTGAAAATTTTTACATACAACTCAGTTCCACAATTAAACAAGGCTACTAAGGAGAATAGAAAATATTCATTGTCAAACCTCAAGGGTGTCTTGTGTGAGGTTGCGAATAGACACTATGTGTTATTCTTAATGTAAAACAAAGACCGGTACACAATGTTCAGGGAAGTAATTTCACAAACCAATTAATCTAGTTACAATACAATACTAAGTATTTTGCTTTCTCGTACGTTATGGAGGATCAAAAGTATTTCTCATTGAGAATGATAATAAGAATACAGTTTAATCAACCCGAAGTTGTGGAACTTACAGCTCACTTGAATTCTTCGTTGTTGTTGTTGTTTTTTCTCCATGAATAGTACATTTCACTTTATTTTTTGAAAGACCAATCAGTTTATTATCCATGAAATTTCCTATTTAATATGAAAAGGAATTGAGTTTTAATGAAATACTGTTTTGTCAATTAATGAAACAATTTTTTTTATTTACATGTCTGTAAACTTGAATGTCATTTCAGTTTCACTTGTTGTTGTTAACGTATCAGACAAACACAATTGTTTCAAGTGTCACGATCTCATCATCTTCATCAACATTATCATCATCATCATCATGTAGACCTATTTAAAATCACAGTAGGGCATTTAAAAATTACTTGAAGATATATATACAGTAACCGTCTGTATATAATAAAAATGGAAACCTGTAAGATGGATATACAATTATGTCTCAAGATTATTTCATGTATAGACCGATCTGTCTAATTGTTGGAACTTGTTACATTTAGTTAATAAAACATATGGAAATAAAATCTACACGGTTTAAAAGTGGCAATGAAATAAAGAAATGATTATGTAATCCATGTTACTATAAATTAAGATTTGAAAAGAAATCTTATACATGTAAAATATGTATAAGGTTGTAGGAAGGATTGAAAATTATGTTTGTGTGAAGTTTGTTTAGTTCTTTAATAATGCTGTAACGATTACAATATGAAGAATTTAAATTCAATGAACTTTTCAGTTAAAGTACTTATACATTTTGGGTAAAAGTATATATAGTGTAAAGATTGATTAACAGATGGATATCATCATGTATTCAATCGACTGAGAGAATGTAAGTGGATTTGAAATCTAATGTGAACTTTAAAGAAATAATCTATTCTCTGCTGCTTTGTCTGATTATTGTTGGAAGTTGACAAATTATTCAGATTATACAATTCACTAATAGTAATTTATTATTTAAAACAGTTCGACATACTAATTGATTAGATAGTTTTAAGGAGATTAATTTGATACAGGGATAGCATGAGTGGTTGCAGATATTTGATAGAGAACAATGTTTTATATACATTTCGTCTTGACGGAAATGATGTTTACATGAGAATTTGAATCTCCCCATGCGGCTTATTAGTCTAAGGTGCTACCATTGATTTACTTAGCTCTTCACTGACCTTCTGTAGGGCCGTGTTATTCACAACTGACTGATCACTGAGTCTGGAGTTCCAAAATGGCCACACTTTTGAGTGACTCGATACTTTATACGTTATTTTGGGATGTTCGTTGCTTCGAGTTGAGTCACTCAGACTAGTGGCCGTATTACAACTTGACTGATAGAATTCGGTCAGTAGTATGAGAGCACATAATGTTGCTGATGGTGTCTGGCCAACGGGTTCGAAGTATTTTGCTTAGTCCAGTGCTTCCAGGTTTTCCATGGTGGTCTAGCTTCAATCTGTGAAATTTCTAAAATCTCCACAAACCCTTTCTGATAAAAGTGGATTTACCTACTTAATTATGTACGTTTCTGCTGAAATTTCAAGTCAGTATTGATCTCTGCAACACTAGTTCTCAATTATTTAATAATTATGATTCATATACATGTGAATCCTGACTCAGCTGCATTATACCGCCTATTTTCACTAACTATATTAAAACAACTGTCTCTTTTGTTGAAATCCACTGATAATTTAATTAGTTTTTCATATAAAACGACATTCATTGCATAGGGATTTAATTGCTGGTAGCCAAATCGTTTGAAGTGATTATTGTTAAAAATATTCGATTTAAACATTTAGATCAATATTTAATGAATTACTTGACAGAATAATTCAGTATTATGTAAAATCTGAGTATGTTTCAGAGTGCTCGGATGATTTAGGCAATGTTTAGTTAGTTTTGTGTTAATAATGTAATTCAGAACGACAACAAGTACTCCATGAATAAATTATATATTTCAGAGAAAACAAACCCATCTTCTTGAGCTTGCGAATCTGCGTTATTTTAAAATCCTGAGAGCGAATCATAATTCTAGGTAATATTTATAGCAATACTATAAAAAGTACTTTTGCCAAATAGCCTACTTCAATTCCTTGTTTTCACAATTCTACTTTATAAATATAAATATTAATGCATCATTAAACATATTCGATGATGACTGAAACAACTTGAACAGTTAATGAGACCTAATGTGTTTATGAGACATCTAAAAAAAGAAAATGCTGACTACCTTTGTTCTGCATAGCTAACATGATTTTGTAAAGATATAGACTTCAAAAAAATAGGAACAAATCATCAACTGGTCACAAATATGGTGATTGTAATGATTAAATAATGTAACATACAATCTTTCTTTTTTTGGGGGGGGGACGGGGACGGGATAAAATGTCTAATCCTTTTGGAAAGAAAACTAAGTTCTATATTGTCTTAATCCTTAACTCTCTATTTTAGCTCGTTCACTGATCGATTTTCTGGTTTACATTAATAAAATGTCTAATAATTAAGAAATGACTAGACATGTAAAAAAATGATTTAATTTTCCTTTGAGGTGGATGCTTATCTTTTGTTTGTTTGTTTGTCGTTGTTATTGTTCTTTTTTTTTACGGTCAGACTATCATTGTAATTTATTTCTAGAAGGTGTTAACCAATTTCGTCTTTTTGTCTCTTAAATAAGAAAAAAAAGACAATTAATTATTCGGTTCAGTGATCGACTATGAATGAATGAAGATGATTATTTAATTTAATGACCTTCGTCTGACTAATCGATAATAATCTTCATCGAATTTCAATGGCAAGTGAGTAGAGTAAGGTCCTTTCTATTCTTTTAGATATTAAAAAAAAGATGACCAACATAAGATTATGAGGATAATCAGTTCACCGCGTCACGCAAGAACAGTATGACTAGTATAATGTTCTAAACATAATGACAATGATGATTAATATATTTCGTATGTGCTTATTTAGCAGTAGAATCCAGGAAGTCATTTAGTCCTGTCTGAGATTCATCAACTAAAGGTAGCTATATCCCAGTGTTGATGATCGCATTGAAACTCTAACCCTTCGCTCTGAATACCCAATTCGTTATCTACTTAACTACTTTGTTTTTGATTTCACACTGCTGATGTATTGAGGACAAAATGCAGATTCTGGATTCTGATGCTAGCCACACACTGTGAGCCATATATAAACATGAAATTGATTATTATTCAGTGAACAATCAGTGAAAATACTTCGGTTCTGTAGGAGTTCAAATAGCGTAATCGTTATGCTTTTGACTGAATTATTGGGTAACACAATTCTTAATACCAGCATCGGATCTCTAAAAATTACTACTACGCCTTGGTGACAAATGTTAAACATCACGAAATATAGGTTAAGGATTTTCTGACATGAACACAAATCACTTAATATATCATTGCCGCAAATTGAACACAATCTCGTGCTTAATTGAAAGTCATTCATTTTGTATTGTTCTTTACTTCCAGTTGTCAATCTCCATTTAAATAGATAATGCTCATCACATTGATATCATTAGAAGACTTGTCAATTAATTTATTCAGTAAAAGAAATGGTAAAAAACGGAAGAAAGTTTATGAAGTGACTTATTTGATAATAATGATTACACTTATTTGAATTGAATACAAACAGGGTAACACGAAACACCTATATAGGAATTAAAGAAATTAAGTAAGAAAATAAGACTGTGATACGTTTATTTTGGACACTTTTCCACATGGTAACTAAAATCAATCCTGCTCAATAAATACCTCATTGAATCAAATTTTATTTATTCTTTGGTGAATTACAGTATGAATGAGAAGAACTAAGCCATTTGTATATGTAGGTATGCGTGTGTGTAATAAAATTTTATTCTTGGTTTATATGTCAAATATACATTTTATATGCGTATATGATACTATTATTGGATAAAAGCGGGATTAAAAATGACCGATTTGATGGGATAAACTATGATTCGGACATAAATTGGAAACATAAAAGAAAAAAAAGACAGATTAGCTAATCCACTATTTTTATTATAAATGGTAAAACTTCATCATTGTCAGTATAGTTTCTTTTAGCTCAGGGTTTCAAGATAGTATCATTATTTTAGATAAATCAAAGTTTTAATTTTAACACTCAGTTACTGAGTTGATGATGTCCGGCGTTTTTATTGATAACTCGTCTGTCACATCTAAGATGAATGATGCTGATTTAATTTTGTAGGGAAATCAACTTCAGTCTTGACGTAAGTTATGTGCTATCTGGCAATCATCAGCAGGACGTACCTACGACCTTTAGGGGAATGGTATTCTCTAAGTGTTTTTAACCCGTGCTAGCAAACTTAACAAACTGAGACATTATCACTGAAATATTCTTGTTGCGATTGACCTCCTGTATGATTGAAATATTTACAAAGAATTGGCTACTGTGTAGCGATTAATGTAATACTTACATAATCCTTTTATTGTTAATCGAATCTTATCGACCAGATCACGATATGGCTACCAATTTGAGTAACTATAGATCATATGCAATCTGTCGTGATATCAGTAAATTTGTATATGGTTCTAGGTATTTAAACAGTAATTCAGAGGTTTAGTTGTGAGCATTTGTGCAGATTAGTTTAAATCACGAAATAATCGTAGTTAACCAAATATTGATGACCAAGAAGCTCTGAACAGTTGTTTCGACACAATTATAGATGTATCCTACAAGAGAGTAATTTTGCATTGGTCTTTGAGAGAACTAGATACCGTCTTTATTCTTCACGATCTAAACAACACAGCTCGACCTTGTGGAGCTACCACACACGTTTTCCAGTGGTTGTCTAATTAAGATCAGTCTACGATGAAGTCTATGAAGTTCAGTAATTTGCACAACTCCCGTAACGCTTTTAGTTTTCTGTAGTAGACTTTCACCATGGACTGACACCACTTAGAGTGGCACTGAACGTCGGATTAATTCTAGATTGATACTTCTCAAAAGTGAGTATAGTGGACTTTACCAGTAACTGAATTAAATACCCTCATGTTTTAAAGCGAGCTCGATACTACCTGTCTGGATTTAATGGTTATCATAGTTAGCTTCATTTAACTATTGATATTATACAGTGATCTTCTAATGGAATCAATGAAATTTAACTTACTTTCTGTTGCGTTGAACTCCGTTAGTGAAGCCTGATCAGTAGCACTTCTTGAATTCATTTTAAAGTTAGATACTAGCAAGCCTCAAGTCCCAAAGTTACCTGTTTTGATCTCTGGTAGTTCTTGGGTGCTTTATGCCAAAGAACCTCTATCTGACATCAAGAAAGTGTTCACTGACGCTAGGATTTCAGTGGTTTTTCACATGAAGCTGGTCACTGATGAAAATAATCATGATGTAGCAAGTCCAATTAGACTCATTTTGAGGAATCATTCAATTCAAACACAATTTCCATCATGAGCTGATATCAACCAGATAATTACTGAAAGCCACAAAGTATTCTCATATTTTAGATTTTACTTTTCTTGCAGAGCTTAAACCATAAGTCTGTACTTTCATAAACACTTCAAACCAATGTTTAATGACTTCTTAGATTAGTGGTATATATCAGCGTCAATGTCATTCGATAGTAGGTCATGACCACTGCATTTCGTCATTGTTCTCGATAATGCGACGAGTTTGTGGGTAAAAAATATTCCAAGTCTGGTGATGAAGGCTCACAGCTTTGCCAAACTTTTTTTATCATTGTATCATATACTTCGTAAGAGTATTTGTATAAAGATATACAGGAAATAGGCTGCTAATGATATGTTCATGATTTCACGGAATGTTGTCGGACTTATAAAAACATAATTAAAAAAAACACAACCCTATTCACTAATTTATTTTACACTGATCTAGATTTATCCAAATAAAAATGGTAATTGTTTACCTAATAGGTTATGTAATATTTTCTTTATCAGTATACGAATATCTAATTACGTAATCAAGTAAATGACCTTTGAACCCGATCGTATTTTATGCTTCTTTTCCGAGTTATTTTTTTTAGGTTGTGTGAATAATCACCATTTATTTTGTTTATATGGGGATAATGCTATTCCTGATAATAATTTTACACACCTACCAAGGTGAATAAAGTTAAGTATTTTGATTATTTAGTAAAATAAAGGAAGTTATGGATTAATTCTCTGTTGATCGGCTTAAGTAATAACCTATCCTATAAAAATATTTCCTTATTTATTAGTATAGAAATTTGTGGAGATTATTAAATGCTATGGATAGCACGAGTTGACCTGAGTTATAACTTATTAAAAACCAGGAAACACTGGATGACTGTTTCGTCATAACATAGGGCTCCTCAGTGGCTACGAACCCATTGGAGATCAAACCCAGGATCTGTTATTCATATCAATAAACATTTTTATTTGGTGGAACAAAAAGGATTACAGTGGTTTTCAACAATTATATGGTGCCTTAAGATAGGTTTATTACCAAAAGGGGTTTGTGGAGACTGTTAAATTTCATAGATTACATCAGGAGAGGCAATTTGTGATGTTTTAGTGAGGACTCATAACCGGTTTGGTTTCATCATGTTAAGTGTGAGGCATATGTCCATCGGTGGAATTTGAAAATCATTTGTCAAAGTCTCAAACTGATTAAAGTTGGACATGTTAAACTGGGTTCGATCCTTTGTTTGGTAGTAAATGTGCACAGTTAAGGAGTTTCATACTAAGACGAAGAAGATGTTCAGTGTTCCCTAATTTTCAGAGATTATTTAACTAAAGTCAACCTGTATTGTGAACAACGAAATAGTTTTACTTGATAGATTGGATTTTGTGCAAAACTATGAATAAAGTATGTAAGATCACCTTAATTACGGTAGAATGAGACTGTGTTCTACCAACAGGACTGTTAAAACAGACTACACAACTATTTTTATGTTGTGTGAAGCAATAATAATAATAATAATAGTGAATATACCTCATTTACAAAGTTGAGATTTGTATACTAAACCTTAAGCCATATTAATTCGGTATTGTTTGCTAGAATTTTCACATTGATGTTTGATCACTCTTTTATTGACATATGTGCATCCAGTGCTGATTGCCTTGACATTGTTTTAAGTTACAAGCATTATAGCAAAGATGGATGGTGGCTAGCAGTGGAATCCAGGTCACGTGTTTCGTTCTATTCGGGACTCGTCAGCTGGGTGTGCCTGAATTCTAGAGTTATTGTTCATTTCGTCCATCTTCGTTGAACTACACTGTTTGTATGAAAGCTAGCAATGATTATCGTAGATTAAGCTATATTCAGACATATGATAAGCTTCAAAATTAAAAGGAAATTCAAACTGTGATTAGATAACTGGAAAGTGATGTTTAGAGGTAGTCGACGGGAAATCTTGAACCTAGGTGTTGTGTTAGTCCGTACTTGTCACCAAGTTGAACCTGTAAACTTGAGGAAAATGATACTATCCGGCGGACCAGACCACTTGTAACTCACATTCACAGTCAGAGATGTTCTCACTGAGTTGTCCGACCTGCGACTAATCTCCTGTAGGACTGAGATATCTCTAGAATTGATTGATCACCGAGTAATGATAAGTGTCATGTATATCAAGTTCTCTCGAATTCTTCCAACTACCATCTTACATCTTAACATAGTGTACGCGGTGTTAAGTTACCTAGACCAGTGACTCATTGCAAGTCGACCGATAGTATTCGATCAGTATTAAGATGAACTTGACATATATGATATACGAATGACCATGAACTATAGTGTCTGTTTTTCCAGGAAAATGTAAACACATTGTTTAAAAGCAACGAGTTCATTTTTCGATTATATATTTAAATTTTATGCTTAAACCATTTCTTGTTGGTATGTTACAAGAGTTCATTAGGTAAGGTATATTATTATATGTATACACACGGATACACTTTTGTCTGATCGTTTAAAAATTAGAGTTTATTAATTTATTTAAACATAAACATTGCCACAAGGAGTCATCAAATAGATATGCGCCACATAAATAATTCGATTTGTGTGAGGGCTGGGATACTGTCCGAGTGCCCAAACCGAAGCAGGTGGTTTTCTTAGGGGGCCACACCCGGAGCCTTCGACCTAAAGGTCTGATCCACAAGGCAGTGGAGCAACGTCAACAGGTTCAGTCCCATGGTAGCCGGTGATGAACAATAGGTTCATACGCCATTTGTTTCTTCAGGATACTGGAACCCATGTACATCATTGATTTGGAATCAGGGTTTTCCAACTTCTCTAGGTGGACTCTCTGTGTTCATCAACCCGGTTAAAGCTCTGGACATCCGCTTTTTGTCCTCCCAATTTCGTAGAAAACACACTCGCCGCGAGAAGGTAGTGAGTAGGACTTCTCTAGCAGTGGTTGTGTACACATGGCCATGTGAGAGCATTTCAAGAGAGAGAGCTGACTCTCCCTACTCTCGACCGTAGCATGACATTTGGGGGCCTAAGGAGTAGAGTACAATTCGTTAGTCATAGTTTTAAGTATACTTTATATTCTACAAACAATTGTAAGTACTCAATCTTATCTCGTATTTATTCGTAGATATTTACATTTAAGGAGTTTGTAAATATAACAAACCAGTTACCCAATACATTTTAGCTTCTAAAGATTTACCAACTGATTTCAATTCATAAAACAAACGGTAATGAATTCAAGCTCCAAAGTAAACATCAACTCTGAGATTCAGGTACATCCAGCTGGCAAGCCCCAAATCAAACGAAACACACTACCTAGATTCCATTGCTAGTCACTATCTATCTTTGCCAATATGGGACTGATCAATTACAGTCTTAAATAACAGTGAGAAGATACAACTAAAATAACACCAAATAAATCTAAACTAATTTATTCATCATAAATTATAATCTAATTTCTATGATAACAAAGTTTTGTTACAATCAATTATGAACAAAAGGAATCAAATAGATTTAATTATTTACATTTTATGACATTCGAATAACATTTTGTTTTGGGTCTAATGTTTAACTTCATAAAAAATATTAATGTGTATTTTCACTTGTTTTGATTTTTTTTTCTTCATTTAAAGGGTCAATTATTTCTTTTCATTGATGTATCTATCATACATGTTTTCCTTAATTATTTTAATAGGCATCATGGTATGTACACGAATATTGATCATAAAATGTATTAAATCTTAGTTGTTCTTGTAAGGAAACCTATAAAAAACGGTATAGTTTATAGACTGTTATTGATTTATATCAGAAGGGGTTTTGTGCATTTGATCTGACTGTTTGTTAATATGATAAGAATAAAATAATAAAAAAGAAAGAAAGAAAGCGAAATTGTTACATTAAAAATAAATAATAATACTGTTTTTTTTGTTGTTGAAAAATGTACTTCATATTGATGATAAAGTGTTTTTAAAAAAATAATCTTTCGTATCCACCCCTTCCTTTTTATGACCCCTCGCTTACTAACTAATTCACCAACCTACCCACCCACCCATTCATTCAATCAATCAATCACTCACCTACTCACTTACTGTAAGAGTAAGTCACTTGTTTTCTTTTTATTTTTTTATTCCCTCAATCACATTCATACACATCAACATTATTTTATTTATTATTTACTAATTAAGTTAATGTTTCAAATAAATCGACTTGTTAAATATTTACTTATACAAAATAAAGAAAAAAATATAGATGGGTAAACATTCATAATTCATTTGTAACCTTTTGTAAATTATGTTTTTCTGATGAACAAGTATTTAATAAAATAAAGCTTTTATGAATCAGTCAAAAGATTATCCAGTTGTTTGTATGATGGTAGGACGATAGTATGAAAAGAAAGCTTACAAGTAATAATAATAATAATAATAATAATAATAATAATAATAATAATAATAATCAGAATGGGTTTTGTGGAGATTTTAGAAATTTCACAGATTGAAATCATGAGTCAGTTGAAGGTAGACCACCATTGAAAAGCTGGAAGCACTGGACGGCCGTCTCATCCTAGTATGGGACTCCTCAGCAGTGCGCATCCACGATCCCGCACCACTCGGGGCTCGAACCCAGGACCTACTGGCTTTGCGCGCGAGCACTTAACCATTAGACCACTGAGCCGGCATCCAACGGTGTTAATGTCTAACTTCAGCCAGTAGGTCCTGGGTTCGAGCCCCGAGTGGTGCGGAATCGTGGATGCGCACTGCTGGGGAGTCCC